AAATAAATAAATAAATAAATCTTTTTTAAAAAGACATAGTTAAAAAAAATAAAGAATGAGGAAGAGAAAAATAGAAAATATCTGAATGACTAGAGCCACAAAATCAGACTCATTTGGAATGAAAAGGTCCCAGGTTGGCTTGGCATTTGGAGATTAGTGGGCTGGAAATACCACTGGATTTTTTATCAAACAGAGCATTTGCAGGAACATAAAAGTTATGCAACTTTTGGTTTGCTTACATGGCACCTTGGACAGAAGTGGTTCGTCTTGGACCTAGAAATTTGTGTCAGCACTGGCTTATAGCAAAGTGGGCAGGAGGAGAGAGAGAAATTGGGAACTTATTTTCCTCTGTGCTAAAAGAACTTAAAAACAATGCTTCCTGGGCAAGAATGGGATTGAAAATCATATTGTCTCAAAAAGACACCATGAGATTTACATACAAAAATATTTATTACTTTGCCATTTGTTATAGTGATGTTATAGTGATGTTCTATGAAACTACCTAAAACTCTAACCACAGGGAAAGGTGACGTGACACAGATGTTAGGAATTACGGGTTATAAAGCTAGAAAGTGTAATGACTCTGAAGGGTAGTTGAGTGTGCCACCGCAAAATATGCCTCTTGATCATAAGGGTTATGTTCAGTTGATTATTTTAAAGAAACAACAGATGCAGGAAAAGATCTTTTGTCTCTTTTGTAAGGGACAATTACATTTACAAAGGAAATCTCCAAATGTACAGGTGTCTCCCTCCTATATTAGAAAAAGAAGGATGACTCTGAATTATAAAAGAATCTTACTATGTGACAATGATACCCTTTACTGTCCTTTTCCTGATAACTTCCCAGAAAAAGCTTCCCCCTCAAAACACCTTCCTTTTGCCTTTAGCTGAAAATGATATTTAAGATGGTGGCTTGGGGCATTTCGGGGAGTTTTACTCAGTTTCCTGGGTATCTATACATGGTATATAGGAGGCATACATGTTATTAAACTTCTGTGGGGTTTTTTTTTCTCTTGTTAATCTTTTGTTACAGGAGGTGGAGGGTCTCAGCCCAGAATCTAGGAAGGTACAGAGAAGATTACTTTCTCTGCCCTACAATATCATGAGTGAAGGAAAGTACAAAGTGAAATTTAATGTGCTGTATGAGTACAACTATGTTTTTAAAACACCAATGCAAAGAAAAACAGGAGAAAAAACATCAAAATATGTAAGCTGGGTTTTGTGGGGCAGGTGATATCTTTGGTGGCTTGGTTTTCTTCTGCTTATCTTAATTTTCCAAAAGTTCCTTAATGAGAAAGGATGTATTACATAATGGAGTGGAAGAAATTTTAAATAAGTGTTCAGTCAGTAAAAAGAGGTGTGACCCACTGTGAGGAGTTGAGGGGAAATTCTGAGATCCCCCATCTTGGGGGTGGGAGGCCTGCAGTGGGAGAGGACGGAAAGTGACTCCTCCAGGTGAGAATGAGGTGGGAAGAAGAGTGAAGCCCCTAAAACATGATGATCAGAGGAAAAGATTACTCTGCCTCAGAGTGGGTGGTTTGAGGTTGGGGGAGCTTCAGAGCGGGCAAAGATCGGGAGGGGAGACTAACGACTGCCTGCCTGCCGGGGTTTAGAATGCGTCTGTCCCCGCCCCCTCTCCTCTAAACCAGTCCGATTGGTGAAATAAGTAGAATCAGCCCTCCCTCCCTCTTTTTAAACCAGTGACTAAAATCAGGCCCAGGGGGGCGCCTGGGTGGCTCAGTGGGTTAAGCCGCTGCCTTCGGCTCAGGTCATGATCTCAGGGTCCTGGGATCCAGCCCCGCATCGGGCTCTCTGCTCAGCAGGGAGCCTGCTTCCTCCTCTCTCTCTGCCTGCCTCTCTGCCTG